CAATGATATCTCAGGATCTATTGCTCTTAGCACCGAAATATTGGGTATTTGGGTTACCAAAATCATAACAAACGCAAATCCCAAACTTAAAATGATAAGTGAGCAACTTTAATTCGGAAATACTCCCAATTATATGGCTTCACCATAAACTGTAAATAGCTCAATTCATGTGTGGCTTTCACCTGTGCCTTATCCATACAGATCCACTCACAGATATTCTTTATTTTATATGGTTTTTTTATGTATAATTCCTTTTGCCTGGCGGTTAATTAAAAAAGGGGCTTGGCCCCACAGCGGTTCGTTTCCCAGAGAGAAAGAGAGAGAGCAACATACAGACAGATGCCTACGTTGATTTATTGCATTTTGGGGAGCTTTAAAATGTGAAAATAAATCAAATGAAATGAAATTTATATATAAAATAAAAATGTCATACGAGTCGAGAGCTAACGTTAAAGTTAACGTTGACTTTAGCCACACGTAATCGCTCAAGTGTGTGTGTGTGTATGTTTGGGGACATGCCACAGACCGATTCGTTCAACTCTTTAGCGCCATTAACAAAAGCTTTTCCTTGTCTACCCTTGGCTCCCTTTCCATTGGTTTCGGCTTTTGGTTCCGTTTGCCTTTTCATTTGGCGTCGTCTTTCGTTGACCACATTTAATCCTTTGGAGCTGAAGGAGCGCCACGCCACGCCACGTCACGATGGTAGGGCGGGGCATTGGATTGCCCAACACAAAAGAAGGGAAAACGCATTGCATTTTGCGATAAATTCGCATTAAATGAGTGGGTGGGTGGATGGGGCAAAAGTGACCACCTACAATGCGTTGTGCATCGTGCATCGTGCATCGAGCATTGAGCTGCCTGCCGTAGCAGCAATTCAGAAATTCTCCTGCACTTGGCACACAAACACAAAGATGGTCGAGAAAAATCGAATCGGATCGAAACGAAACGAAGAATGTCAATAAAGGATAGGGACTGGACGGACCTTGTGCATCTCCAGCAGCACAGGACTCCTCCTTCCATTGCCTCCTTTTAATGGTGCTGTGTGCGTGTTCGTCCTGTGACAATGAGCGTCACTTTTGCCTGTTTGTTGTCTTCATTTTTGCTGAAGGAACAAAAGGACGTGAAGTGATAGGACACACTGCAGGGAGGGAGCATGCTCATAATGCCCCTTCATGATATTTACAGTGCTTAAAGGTTGTAGGAATTATGTTGCAATTTCTGCACTGAAATTGGAGATTTCTGGAGCAGTTTTTATGCGAAATCAATACCCAGAACTAGCCCTATTACTGCAAGAAGGCTTCAAATATTCGAACTGCGAAAAGGATGCATAAATCCCATCATTTAAGACCCACTGTTTAAATCCTTTACTGGCAGAGGCAGAGGTCACTGATAAGACAGCAGACTGTCCTGCCAGTCTCCGCCTTCAGCCTCTCTACTCTGCAATTGACAACTTCAATGTGAACAATATTATTTTGCATTTATATTTAAGAGTTTTATTATCGTTTTGTTGGGAGGTTTAAGAGTGTAGAAGAAGTGCAAAAGAAGCTGCCAAGAAGTGAAGTAAAAGTAGTCGAAAAATGAAGCAGGAAGCAGAAGCGAAAGGCATACGGGTACGAAGAGTATTGTTGAGGCATCACATTTCCCAATACGATATATATTTTTTTGGGGGTATCTGCAGTGTCTGTCTGTTCTGTCTGTCTGCCTGCCACTGTGGGTGCCCCTGTGGGTGCCTCTGTGGGTGCCTCTGTGGATGCCTCGCTGTGCCAGGGAGTTCACTTTTGAGTGGCGAGGGGTCGGGGTGTATCGATATCTCTTGGTGTTTCGATTGCATTGCACATTGAAGTTTTGCGGCTTTTGGCGTCTTCTCCTCTTGGCCAACACACACACACAGCAGCGGCTGCCGCATCTTGTTGCACGAGTGCCGACAGCGAGTACGAGTATATCATTGGTAAATACAGACTCTTCCCTCCCCCGCTACTCTGCCCCCCACTTTCGGTTTATTTGACTTTTGTTGCATATTACGTAAATCGAGTGTTCAATGCACTTGGCTGTTGCACCCACCGCCGACAGCGATATTCAATGGATTGAACACACACACACGCACACAGATTCAGACTGAGAGTGGCGGTGCCCCCGTCCGCCACTTCTTTGATATCTACTGTGGGAGGCTACTGTGGGCGGTGGCGGCGTTTCCATTGTGGCGAGAATAAATAAGTGCAACGCTCTGTTTGACACTTGCAGCAGCTGTCAGCGTGGCGGCACCCCATGATTGATCGTACCGATAGTGTGCCTCGAGGTAGTGGCAGTGCCTCCTCCTCCTCTTGGGGCCAGTTACTGGAAGACGGCAAAAGAAATGATGTTGTCAAGTATGGCTAATGGTGAGGGGTAACACTATTAACCATGGTCATAACAAATGGCACAATCCGAAGGGGCAGTAGTTTCTGCATTTTGGGAGTTGTTATGGGAATGTCATAATTTTTAAGGGAGGAAAATGTGTGGTAGGGGGATTAAAGGAAGGGAAAGTTATTGGTGAATGTTTTAGTTGGGTGTATTTATGGGAATTTTATAATGAGGGAGCGACATTTGAAAGCTCTATAAATGGTATAAACAAGAGTCATAACTATTGATTGCTCTAATTAAATACATAGACGTAGACATACGCAGGTTCCTGCTGACAAGAGAGCACTAAGAAAGGTGAAAATTGGCTTAAATAATATATTTTAATATAAGATATACAAAATTTTGCAGGAAAATGGCTTATAGAATCCTTTTTTGAGTTTTAGCTAAAGAATAACATTTAAATTGTCCAGAAACATATGTGGAATTGGTTTTACAATAAGCAAAAGAACCGAGAAACATTTTATGTTCCCTTTTCTATTTGTTTTGAGGAAAACTTTGTAATAACTTTTCGCCGATATAAAATAGATGGATTGCAACTTTTTGGCAATTAATTCTTTGTGTTAGTAGTAAAAGCTACTAAAAGATACAAAATATATTATTAAATTTAAGCTAGAAAATTTGAGATAAAACACATTAAAAAATGCCGTAAATATTCCCTTTCAATGATCTGATCACCAATTAGTACATTAACCAGGAAAAATCTCTACCAGAATCACAGTTCTCCGTTCAATTTTGACTTTTTAACAAACTGAAAATCATCCACAGCAAAAACTGTGCAGCGGAAAGAAACTTTCCAATTTCCAGACCACAAAAAGTTAATGTGGCAAATGACAGAATGTATCTGTATCTATCAGTGGAGCGAATGGAAAGATAAATGCACAGCGATAACAAGCTGCAGCTTTTCTTTTTCTCTTTCCCTTGTCTGCTGTAAAGAAAATTAATTTAAATTTATTATCTCAATTTGTAATGGAAAATGAAGGAAATTGAGAAGCCGAAGAAAGAGGATTACTTTCGCCAAAAATGAATGTTGACAGCAGCAGCAGCAGAGAATGAGAGTATCTTGCAGATACTTGTGACGTGGCATTGAACTTGAACTTTTATCTATCGAAAATACTTGCGAGTTTTTCAATTGTTTGCCCAAAAAGTTGCCCATTCGATGTTCCATCTAAGATATTACAAAGTTTCGCAGATGTATAAGTTTTCCGGGGGAGCTTTTAAACTTTAACCTCTTTTTTGTCAACTCGTTAGATACTGCAACGCATTTGTAGAGGAAGTATCTGTGAAGTTTGCTGGCCAAATTGAGTGCACACAGCCGTTGGGAAGCGGGGAGTAGAGGAACGGGGGCCAGCAGACGTTTGTCATTTGTCTGCCTGTCATGTCAGTTGTCAAGTTTGATTTTTACCCAACAATTGCTCTGGCTCTTCTACGATTTTACAAATATATTGCATATATATATCGAAATTGTACATAAGTTTATAAGGATGTATGTATGTTTGCACATATGTCTATATATTTTTTAAATTGTTACATGACAACTGGGACGGACACACACAAAAAACGAGACAAATTTGTGCAGCTTTTTCGGCAGCGAAACGCTTGTTGACAATTTTTCATATGCTTCTTGCCACTAAAAGAAGAGTCTTCTTGTGCTTGTGATTGTGTGTGTGTGGGTTGAGTGGTTAGTTGTGTTGCATGTCAACGCAGGGAAACAGATTTTTGGGTCATGAATGTACTAGTTTTTGTTTTTGGGGTTATTCCGGAGATTTCTTGAGGTTTTTGGGATGTTTTTAGGGGGGGAATTGAGTGGAAATTAAGATATAAAAAATGCTTTTACTCATAACTCACAATTCATTTAATAAAATATTTAAAAAATGAGCCAAAAAAGAGACTTTGAATGAACCTCTTCGATAAATCTACTCTTGGATTTCTTCTTCGATTTCCCAGCATTTTGGTCTCTTACTTGACCGTTCCGTTAGCCTTTCCCTTTGCTACCCAATTAGATTTGTTCTTAAGATTAACCAATCAATTTCCATAGCGTTCCATTTCTAGTCCTAAGCGTTTACCATTTCCTATCGCAAGCTTAGAGAGCACGCAAAGATCGCGCTGTGTGTGACCCGTGTCATTCATCATTTCCATTTTCCATTGGGTGTAGACAAATGGTAGGACAGGGTGCAGGGTTCTGAGTTGATGTCTCAGCGCACACTTTATCTGGTTTTTAGGAGATCTTCCCCAAGACGCGTGTGCGTGAAGCATGTAAAAAAACGAAACCGTTCAGGAAAATTAGTCATAAAAAACGCATTTGTGTACGCTAGAATTTTGGTATCTCATTGGGGGAAACGAATGACAGAATCACGACTTTGATGGCGCCTAAAAAGAAGTTTAAGTCGCGGATAAAATATCGCCTTTAAATAACATTTTATTGATGGATTAAGTACCGGCAAAAGAAGCTTAGTCAGCTCGAGGATTTCCATTTATATTGGGCGCACTTATCTAGCTCCCCCCCACCCCAACAAACGATGAATCATTCCCCTAAATACCTTTGAATATACGAATTTTTCCTGCATTTATTTCATTTCCAATTCGTTTCTCTTTCGTGGCAGTACGACAACGTTAATTCGTGCCTCCATGTGCTGCGCGGACAGTCCGTTGGTGGATTGGACAACATCACAACGAATGACATTTGTGCCGGCCGCTTAAAGGCTGTCCTTGCACTGTTCTTTGCTCTGAGCCGCTTCAAGCAGCAGGCCAAGCAAACCAAATCGATTGGCGTCGGTTGTGGTGGCAGCAGCAACAACAGTGGAGCTGGCAGTGGCACCTCCAATACGGCACTGTCTGGTGGTTCAGTACTGGGCATTGGCTTGGGCGGAAGTCTGAGAGCTCCAGGATCAGCGGGCACACTGCTACACGATAAGAATCAACAGGAGCAGCAGAAGCAACAACTGCAACAACAGCAGCAGCAGCAAACACCTCAACAATTGGCTCAATCTTTGGAAAACGGGAATGAAATGGTGAATCGGTGAGTGCAAAGCAATTTTCAATAATTTATTTCATTGAATTTGGTGGGTGTTTTACATTTAGGTCTTGCATAAATACAAATTAAAATTGAATTTATTTTCTGAAACGGCTCTACAGCGCCACTGTCGCTTTTCTTTGGAACTATTGCGTTCTCCACTAAAAATTGCATGCACTGTGGCGCCACCTGGCGCCTTATTGTTGCAAAATGCGCAAAAATGTGGCGTGCTAAACGGGTTTTAATGGAACTACACGAGTTTCATGGCTACCAGCTCATGTCAGACATGAATAATTTCCTGTTAACGAAAAGTATGTTAGCCAACAGCCGAACAGTATGTTAATGAGAACCACTGTAAATGATAACAGCTTTTAGACCTGATGTTGTTATTTGTACACCTTGTTCAAGTTAATCATAAGAAAAACTAAAAATTCGTACGATCATTTCGACTCTAATAACGTTTTGGGGGGGTATTGCTCAGACGTCTAAGAAAAACTCTAAGCTTTCCCAGGCTCTTATTTAATTTTTTAGAATTATGTATGTTTTTTATTTTCCCAAGTTAGTCTCATATGATTTCTCCTGTAGCTCTGAGGTGCACCTATTTCTGTGACTACAAGCACATGTTGAACAAATCCCTGATTAACTCCACATAATGCCAGTTGACTCACAAAGTAAAACTCCACGGAAAATGGAGTCAACCCCCGAAAAAAGGGCATCTGCCACCCTTTTGTTCTTTACATCATTATTTAAAACTCTGAGCGAGCGCTTGTCAAATCGATCCAAAGAAACACCAGCTGCCTGCTCATGCACCACTCCCAAGGATATGCCATATCCAATGTCAGAGATTTTCTATGAATTTTGCTTAGACGCGCCAGAAGATTTCCGGCTACGATTCGTTCGTTTTTTCGTCTTTCCGTTTGCGCTTTTTCCCCCCACAAAAAAAAGGGAAATTCCTGGCAAGTTTAATATGATTTATTGGTTTGTTTGCCGGAAATTACAGGCAATTCTCCGACTCTTTTCCTCACTCACACCTACTGCAACAGATGTCATCATCATCTACGCAAAAATGTAAAAGAAAATTTCAGAGGGGGAAAGCAAATAAAAATTGGCATACTACAAAGTTAAAGTGAGGAAAAATCTCGGCTGCCTTCGAAGGGGAGAACGGAAAGTGCTTGAGTTTCTTTTGAGAAATTCAAAAACCTTGAAGACGGCCCAAAATTAGAAAACTTTATTTGCCAGGCAGAGCAAATGTCTGGAGGGTTTTTCTGGTCTGTGTGTGTTTGCAAGCAACCCCGAGGGAAATCCTTGGAGCTGCAGACAGGAAGCGGAAGCTTTTGTGTGGCTCATGCCTTCTGCCCATCCCGCTCTCCTTTATGTTGCCGGGGAAGCCCCGTCGACGTCGTTTAACTCGTGTTCATGGCGGCAGTCTTTCCCTCTCTCTTTCCCTCTGCAATCTTTTGGATATCTTTCGTTGGATACTTACCTCCCCATGCCACTTCGCTGTATCTGTTTCCATGGCAATGTGTTGATGACTTTCACTGACTATGAAATTTAAATGCGTAACGGAAATGTTTTTATCATTTGCAAGAGGAACAAAAACACTGAGAGGGAAATGTGCAGCACAGGCAAGGGGCTAAGGAAGGGTAAGCTTGCAGAAAATATGTGAAATGAGGAATTTTTTAGTGGATTTTCTTGGAATACTCCTTTTGTTAGCCACTAAGGGACAGGAAAGGACCCTAAAACCATAGAAATTAATATTAAGGTTAATACTTCTTGAAATTCCATGATTTTCCCTATCTTTCAAAGAGTATAAAACTCAAATAATCCTTAAATAAATCCCCAATAAGCCTTTAGGAAGGCATTCCTTCTACTCGCTCAGTGTTTATTTCCCTCATTTAAGTACCCCCTTTGTGACCCCAGTGCAACGGGCGCTATGGACATTTTTGGTCGAGCAGACGCATAAATAACACGGGATTTTTACAACCGTCCTTGGGCCTACTTCATGGTAGGGCAGACATGCAGACCACGGCCATGCAATTCCAAGTTCATTTAAAGTTGCGCCATTAAACTTTCACTAGGGGAAAGCAGACCAGGACTACAGCAGGGGAGGACTACAGCACGAGGGTACACCATTGCCTACACCACACCGAACTGAGCCTCTCCTCTCCACTCCTCTCCAGAGGGCGCATGGTTTATATTGTCTGCGGTCTGGCGACCTAGACCTAGCCATCGTCAGGGGTGGGCTAGGAACCCCTCGCGAGAATGTCGCCAAAAGCAACCCCCAAATGGGGCAGGGCGCAGATTTTTCCTCAATGCAATATTCAAAAGCATTTTAAACGACAAAAGCAGCTGCTACTTGGATTTCCTCACCAATTTAATGGCAATTCGCAAGTTGAATTCGTTTAAAGTCGAGATTCGTTTTCGTCTCGAGGCTGAGGCAGCAACAACAACCTGCTACATGTTGCACTGACGCACATAATTAAAGGAAAAGAAAATATTTTACAGGGCAGCAGCTGATGACGATGCCAGAGATGCCATTTATAACTCTGCAAATTGCTTCAGCAGACACATTGCCACCAGTATTTGCTGCAATATGTTGCCTGCTCCCCCGAAAATGTATTTATAACCCAAGTGGAAAGCTTAGCCTGCCCTTACCCTTCTTCCTTCGAAGGGGCATGGCACATTCCCATGCAACAGACTGTTTGTGGGGGCCAGTCACCCACCCCTTTGGTTTTGGGGGTTGGCCAAATCCTGCGTCTACGTGCGTATGTTCCTTGGGGGTTTCCTCTCTCTAATTTGACTGCATTTATGCGTGACCATGAAGCAGGAGAAACAGCAGGAACAAATCCCAGCCATGAACTGTGGCTAAAACTCTTACACTGGAAGTTACACTGGAAGAATTTCAAGGGAGTTACAAAGGTGTCACAGAATCAGAGCGACTTACAAGCTTTTATAGGAAGAATCTTGATTGGTAGATAAAGGACCCGAAGATGCCTTCTTTAGGTAGATCTTCAAAGAGAGTAGGAATCATAGAATCTTTGGACTTATAATGGGCAATACATAAGAGGCAAACCGTATGGAAAATGATTCTTCTTAAACCGCGGCTTGCTGTCTTGGACTAGAGAGATTGCAGAGGGACTTCGTACATATATTGGATATAAGGAAGAGATTCTTACAGGGTAGAAAACCAGACAAAGAGTACCCATTAGATGTCCCTTTTTCTAGAGACATCTGCTTTTAATTCAAAGTAAATCTCCCAGCATACTAGATGAATGCCCACATAAACCCCTCAGTGTAACTCCAATATCCATTAAAATGCAATCCCCCGTTAAATCTATGGCTACTCTGCCACACAATCCACTCCCATACACCACTCTTCCACAATTGACAAGTTGTCAAGTCCTTGCTGGCCAATACGCTTCTGCATGCATCGTTTGTCCTTAACTCCTCTTGGCTTTCGGTTCGTTTCAGCCTTTATTCCGGCTTAACTTTTGTTGTCCTGCGGGCTGCTTGGTTTTTTCCACATGGTCTGTCATTTGTGTGTGTCTGTCCTCTGGTGTGTGTTGTGTGTTGAATTTATAATTCCATTTGTGGTTTTAATTTGCTAAATGTGAAATTAATTTTATTCAATTTCGTTTTGGGCCCTGCAGATATTTCCGTTTAAATTTAGATTCAAATTGAAGGGGAAATACAGGAAGATTGAGGATTGAAGGGCAGGACAGTCAAAGCATTTGAAAGAGTTGCCTCAGGGGCTGGTAAGTAAGAGCTGTAGAGTTGCCAAGTGTCTAAAGGAGCGACTGCTTTGATGGCTCCTTTGGGAGTGGAATTTTCTGCACTGACTCAGAATATGTTTAAGAAATTATTTACTACAAGGCTAAAGCTTTGAGAATCTGCGATGCTGCGAAATAGAGTTGCCAGATACCCTTAAAAATCCTTTGGCAGTCTGGCAGCTCTGTCCGCAGGCAACCCTGCTCTCTGCTGAACATTTCATGAAAACAAAGCAGTCCTGTACATTATCTGTCATCTGGATTTACTTTGCTTTACGTGTGTGTCTCAGTTCTAGTTGGGTCGGCTTTGAAATAGGTTCGTTCTCTAGCAGCAGGAGACAAAATAATTTTTTTCTTTCCAAAACCCAAAAAAAAGATCAATTAACATTAATCGCGTAACCGGGGAGAAACAAAAACATTATCATTTCAAAATTTCGTTTTGATATTCGGCACAACCCAAGAAAACGGTAAATGCAAAATGAAAAATTAAACTAAATTATTACCCCAAAATAATTGTAAAAAATTCGCAGACTGCAGCATGTCGGACGAGGAGGTGGTGGCACTGGTGATTGACAATGGTTCGGGCATGTGCAAGGCTGGTTTCGCTGGCGACGATGCCCCACGTGCCGTGTTCCCATCGATAGTTGGTCGTCCGCGCCATCAGGGCGTAATGGTGGGCATGGGACAGAAGGACTCTTATGTTGGCGATGAGGCACAGAGCAAGCGTGGCATACTCACACTCAAGTATCCCATTGAGCATGGCATCGTGACCAATTGGGATGACATGGAGAAGATTTGGCATCACACGTTCTACAATGAGCTGCGTGTGGCACCCGAGGAGCATCCCGTGCTGCTCACAGAAGCTCCCTTGAACCCGAAAGCTAATCGCGAGAAGATGACCCAAATTATGTTTGAAACATTCAACACTCCAGCCATGTATGTGGCCATACAGGCAGTGCTGTCGCTGTATGCCTCCGGACGCACCACTGGCATCGTGCTGGACTCTGGGGATGGTGTGTCCCATACCGTGCCCATCTACGAGGGCTATGCCCTACCCCATGCCATCCTGCGTTTGGATCTGGCTGGACGTGATCTCACCGAATACCTCATGAAGATCCTGACCGAACGGGGCTACTCGTTCACGACCACCGCAGAGCGTGAAATAGTGCGCGACATTAAGGAGAAACTTTGCTACATTGCGCTGGACTTTGAGCAGGAGCTGGCCACGGCTGCCTCCAGTTCATCGCTGGAGAAATCTTACGAACTGCCCGATGGACAGGTGATTACCATTGGCAACGAGCGTTTCCGCTGTGCCGAGACGCTCTATCAGCCCTCGTTCCTGGGCATGGAGGCGTGCGGTGTACACGAGACGACCTACAACTCAATCATGAAGTGCGATGTGGACATACGCAAGGATCTGTATGGGAATATTGTGCTGTCTGGTGGCACCACCATGTATCCTGGCATAGCTGATCGCATGCAAAAGGAGATTACTGCACTGGCTCCATCGACAATGAAAATTAAGATCATTTCACCGCCCGAGCGCAAATATTCCGTGTGGATTGGTGGCTCCATATTGGCATCGCTCTCCACCTTTCAGCAGATGTGGATCTCAAAGCTGGAGTACGATGAATCTGGGCCATCCATAGTGCATCGCAAGTGCTTCTAAAAATATGCAAAACTACATCAAAAATCTACACTTTAAACACTTGACACATGGATAGACCTTTTACATTTGACACACATCAAATCATGATTCAATTTCGGCATAACGTTACACACACCAGAGACATGTACAAAAATAAATTGAAATAATAAATACGATTGTTGGGGTAAATATTTAGAGATATTCTTAGAAATAGATTTTATTTTGCTGCGGGTTTAAATCCTGTTCAGAGAGCCACAAGCTAATGTCTCTGGTGGCACGAAAATTGCCACAATTGTACAAATGTTCGTTCTCCAAGCGTAATAGATTCCACAGAAAACGTAGAAAAATCTCACAAAGTGCACCAAAAGTCTTGCAATTGTAGGGTGTTACGTAGGTCTCAATCACCAAAAACAGTTCGAGCAGCCAAAAGGAGCGCAGGAGGAGCTCAGCAATGATGATGAAGTAGTAAAGGCTCTGCAAGGGAAAATAAAATGCAGATGTTGAGGTGTTTGAAGAGCTCTGTTCTGTGTAAAATATCTCCATTACCTTTCTATAAATAAGCTTCTCGCGCAGACAATTGTGTTGCGCATGGAATAAGCCAAAATCATTGCGCAAATCCCAAAACGATTGATAAATAGTGCAGCAAAGGGCACTCAAAATGTAGCCATAGGTCCAGGGATTATGAAAAAGACTCTGATACTTGGCTAAGGAGAAGCTTATGGATTTTCAATATGTTTAAAATATATTTTTAAATATTCATTTACCATTTGTTTCCATTTGTATGGTGGAAAAGACAACCGTTACTATGGACAGACTATACTTGAGTGCATTTAAGCCATACCAATAGGATTTGGAAGTGCCTTCCATATATCTTCTGAAACATTGACACATGCGTAGCCAGGCGGGAAGTACTCGCAGTATTGCCACACCATAATCAGGCTCAAACTCGAAAGGATTACCCACTTCCCCATAGTAACGAATGACGAATCGACACAGCATATAATGATCCACCAGGCAAAGGGTCAGCGAAGTGATTTGTTCAGACAACCAAAAGTCTGCAAAGGTCACGTAGAGAAAAGGACCAGCCAGAATTCGGATCAAACGCGAAAGCAGCCACATTCTCGCAGAATATTCCAAAATAGGAAAGGGATTTAGAACAACAGCAATTACAACTCCCAGGAAGATCAATGGAAAGTAAAAAGGCTTCTCCACCTGTAGCATATCATGATGCAGAAATGCCAATGCGCAGAGCATCCAACCATAAGCCAAAGTGCTGGCAATTTGCAGCACAGCTGTGGATGTCAAGTAATGTCTGGGATTTAGCTCAAAAATCAAAACATAATTGATGCCAGCACGTTGCCAAATAAAGAGGTTAGCACCCACCAAAAAGTAATAGCAAATTAAGAGAAAGGGTCCACGATAGAGATGAACAAAAAGCACACGAAATGTGTCATCCAAGTCCAAGAAAATGTCTGCGAAAATATAGAAAAATAGTTCAATATTCCAGCAAGGTGTAGGCCTCCTACCCACATGATATGCCCGCCAGCAAAGCTGCCACCAAAAACAAACCCAAAAAGAGACCAGCAAAGAAAACTCTAAAAGGATTTTGTGGCTGACCCAAAGGTGGAACTCTCAACCTTGTCATGGCCTTGGAACGATCTCCTTGGGTCAAGTACTGCGTGAATAGCTCCTCCACTTCTTCAATGATATTTTTTAAATCTTTCTTGTACGTAAATGGCGACCGCTCCACCACAGTTTTGTACCACATTTGACCCTCCGAGGAGCTGAAATTTTTGTCATACTTCTTGCAAATCTTACGAAACGCTGTTTGATTGAGAGTTTGATAATTTTGCAGCAGAATTAAACTCAAGTAGAACTCGCTGTAGGCATTGCGCAGCTGTCGTATGGTTTGTGGCTGCTGTTGTGGGAACATGGTTGGATAACGCATATGGAATTGCCTAATACCACTTCCAGCAGCACCACCCACTTCGCGAGACTCCACCAGAGTGGCTTTGAAGGACTCCTGCTTGCGGTGGGATGCTGCGAGTTTTTCTTTAAAGAAAAGTTGAACTTTTACCATCTCGGTGGCGCAGGCGGTAAAAAATTCGTACTTGACTTCCTCGTAGTATTCATGGATCAAAATCAAAGGATAATCGTGGCTATCTGGGGCTTCATCGACGCCCATTTTGATTTTTTCTTTGAGCAGCTAAAAAAGAAAAAATGTTTAGCATGAGATGTGCCGCGGGGTCCTTCGCTTTCTACCTCATAATTAACGTATTGCTCGCGCCACTCATTGACCAAAAGACGCTCCAAAGTCTGACCAAATTTCATAAGAAAAGATTTTTATTTACTGCATGGAAAACTCAAAGAATGACAACATTTTAAAAGTATTTTTTATCAAGCTTGGCACGTGCTTGATCTTTGGTTTGTACCTGTGATGACGGTCTGCCGGAAGAACGCTGATCCGATTCATCCATCATGCGCTCGAGTAGCAGTTCCTCCGTGGGATTTAGTGTGGTTAGGAATATGTCACGTGTGGCACGGAATTTTCCACAATTATTCAAGTGTTCGTTTTCCAAACGCAACAAATTCCACACAAAGCGTCTCGTAATTTCGCAAAAGATAATCAGGGATTTGCAATTGTAAATGTTCAAGACATCAAAATAGATGAAAACTATTTCCAGAATCCAAACGAAACGAAGTAGCGAGTTTTCTACGATGGCAAAATAATAAAACCACTGCGGAAACATTTAGGAGAATTGAAGAAGGAAAATGAAAGACAGGAAAACTCGTGGAAGTCGCAGTTCCTACCTTCGGATAGACCAAATTCTCACGCAAAAATAAGTTCTCCCATTTCCAAATCTTGAACAAACCAAAGTCTTTCACCAGATCCCAAAACAAACAGTAAACACTCGTTAAAAGGGCTGTAAAAAGGTACAGCCAGGTCCAGGGATTCTCAAACATGTAATTATAATTGGCTAAAGGGAAAATAGAGGTTTAAAAAAGTACAATTTACAGGAAAACCACTCACAATTTGTCTCCATTTGTATGGTGGAAAAGATGACAACCAAAATCGAAAGACTATACTTGACGGCATTCATCAGATATTGCTTGGACTTGGAGCCGCTGTCCCTGTAGCGTCTGAGGCATTGGGCAAAGCGGAACCAAGCCGGCAGGCAGCGTATCAGCGCCACGCCATAGTCGGGCTCAAAGCCGTAGCTATTCTCCTCCTTGTTGTAGTAACGAATGTAGAAACGAAATAAATAATAATGATCCACAAAGCACTGGACCATTGAAGTCATTTGATCGCCCATCCAAAAGTCGGCAAAACCCACGTAGAAAAATGGAGCAGCCATAACCCTGCCACAGAGTTTCATCAACCAAATGCGAAAGGGATAATTTAAGAGTCGAATGGGATTGAGAATCATCACGGCTATGACTGTTATGTAGATCAAGGGTAGAATGTAGTATTCCTTGATGCCAAATTCATCGCTGTACAAGTAAGCCAGTACAACGATGGTGAGGAGATAGCCACAGAAACTGGCTATCTCCAGGCCTCCCAGGAAGCCCATATGATTGCGATGTTCCAGCTCAAAGATGAGCACATGATTGATGCCAACTTTTTGCCAAATGCCGACATTTAAGGACAAATAAATGCCATAAACAATGAGCATCAAGGGGCCACGTAAGAGGCTGACAAACATGAATTTAAAGTCGGGCTTCAAGTCCAAAGTAAACCCTGAAAAAAAAGAGAAGGAAAATATTGTCAAATAAGGCAACTTCTAGGGTCGCTCTTCGCACACTCACATGATATCACACTCATGACTGTGCCCACGATAAATAGCCCTAAAAATAAACCCGATAAGAACACACGCGTCGGGGAAGTCTTTTCGCCCAATGGCGGCACCCTGAGCTTTGCCATGGCCTTGGATCTATCGCCATTTGTCAGATATGCCGTATAGAGATCCTCCACGGCTTTTAACATTGTCACCAGCTCCGTGGGCTTGGCATATTCGGCATTCAGAGCGTGTCCTTTGAACCAGTACATGCCTGCGTTGGACTTGATGTACTTGTCATACTTTTTGCATATCTTACGGAAGGCCGTGTGATTGAGTGTCTGATAATTCTGAAGCATAATCAAACTCAAGTAGAACTCCGAGCTGGCTAAACGCAGTTTACGCTGCGACAGTGGCTTGCGATGCTCCTCATCCTCCAAGTGCATTTTGCTCTTGGCATGCCCCAGGGGATCACGATGACGATCGGACACCAAAAACTGGTACTTGAGTGTGGCCAGCTTGCGGCGTGACTCGGATACCTTTTGCTGGAAGAACTCATTGACGCGATTCAGCTCCTCCAGGCAGGTGGAGAAAAATACAGTCTCAAAGTCCTTGTAATAAAGTTCCAGCTCCAATTTGGAGACTGCCTTGGGATCTGGTGCATTGTCTGTGGCGCGGCGTATCATTGCCTTGAGATCCTTAAATGGAAATATTGTGTTTGATGGGGGGAAATGGATGGGAATGAATGTAAAATTCTTCTTACCGCATAGTTCATGTACTGCTGACGCCATTCGGTGGTCAAAAGGCTCTCAAATGTTTTCCCAAACTTCATGGTGTGGCTCTAAAAATGTTTAGATTTTTGTAAACTATTTCCTGTGAATAATTCTAGTTGGGATATAAAGTTTTGATAGCAAATGAAAAGTATTACCGGGAAGTTGTAGCTGTCAGAAAATAGTTATATGTGCTGCTATGAAAGACTCGTCAAACCACTGAAAAATAGAGAGTTTTCTCCCTGTAATGTTTTCCTTTTTAAGGCTGCCTTTACAGACAGTCTTTCCTAGTCATTCCCCTTATTTTAGGGCTACTTTTCGTCATCAAATGCCTGCCTCAATTATCATCATTACTCACTGGCACTGCTTACGCCCATATTTTCTATAAATCAAACAAAAATTGGCTGTGGCACTCGCCCCTGGAAAATCCCCCACAAACGATGGTTCATCCCTTTTGCACAAAATCTCGCTCCAGTGAGT